CCGTATGAGTTCACAAAGATGTATTTGCTTCAGAAGTTAAAGTGCATTGAAACTTCTCTGATTTGACATTTTGGTTACCCTTTTAGACAAGAGGTTTCTTCCATTCATGTATTCATTCATTCACACCATGCAACGGCAGGGCTGCTGGGGATATAGATCACTGTGTGCAAAGAGTGACACAGTCTCTGCCTTCGTGGTGTTTTTAGATCCTGTGGTTGTTACAGTACCAAGAGTGAAAATGAAACCCCAGCTCCGGTTTGAAGAATATGCTATAAAATCCTCCAACCTGTCTTGGGGGGAGCCTGTCACTGTGGAAGAAGCGAGACTAGCCTGAGCCAGCCCTGCTCGGAGAGGCCCCAGGGATGAGGTGGCGCATGGGGGAGCAGAGGGGCAGGGGGTGGGCGGGGAGCACCCTGATGCCATCTTGAAGAGGCCAACTTGGAGGTGACTTCTCAGCCCCGGTTGCCCCTGCCAACGCCATGTGAAGAGTCTAACCACTCAGATGAGCCCTCTCCAAATTTCTGACCCCCCAAATTAAGAGCAAAATAAAATAGTTGTTTTATATCTACTAAGCTTTGGGGGTAGTTTTGTTATATAGCCATACGAACCTGGGAAAGAATTCTAGGATCTGAATGTTCTTCCTGGACAAAGCCCTCTTTGGAGTCCCTGCTCCTTTGCAGAGTGTGATTCATAACTCCGAGAGCAAGCAGGTGTCCCCGTCCTCTTTCAAATGCCACTTCTTTTTACATGGGCATCCCCCTTAAATTTAAGAACCATAAAAATTCCTGGAAACTATCGAATAGAAAGTGCAAGCAGCTGATTCCCTCCCTTCTGCACCGTTTGAGTACGTTGCCCTGCCTCTGAGAATCCCCTAGAGGAGCTTTCCTTGATTCCCTCAAGTTTTATCTCTCCCAAGGCAGGCCTGATGTAAAACGGTGGCGAGGCTGCAGACCCTAAGGTGCCGTGAGATTTGGGTTTTGTCAAATGGCCAAATTCGTCTTGGTGGAGTCTATTTCATGCACAAGCGTAGGTTGGCTTTGTGACCTTTTTTTTTCTGTTCTCTTAGGGAAGTGACTTTCGTGTTGTTGTTGTTCTTTATGGGCAGTGATAAAAACCGAAGTGCTTATGCAAGCAGCGGTGAGGGATTCCTAGTACAAGGCTTCTATTGCTCCTTTCTTTTCTTCTCTTCTCCACCCACAAAAAATAATCCACATAAAAACTGTTCTCTGGCCAGAGCCTGTCCTCTTCTCAGCAGGGGGCTTTAGTTGTTGACTTTAGAACAAATTTGGGTTTCTGTCTCCTGATTTTGGGGTGCATAGCTCCAGCTGGAAACTTTGTTTAAATACCAGTATATTTGGAAGCCCTTTTGCCTTCTTCCTCCCACAACCTAATGATGACAGAGTCATTGAATTGGAGCAACCCTGAGGGTTGAGGGGGGAGGCAGCTGCATTTCTGACCTCATCTGGGTGTATTTAAACCCTTGTTTTCACCCCTGACCTGAGAGAAGGCAAGTAAGGGGGAGCAGAGTGAGCCCTGGGTGCATTTGTGCGCCACCTCTAGAGCTCATTAGCCTCATGGCTGGTTCCAGGAATAATAAGATGTCTTTGAGTCTCAGTTTCTTTATCTGTAAAATGGGGTTCAGAAATAATATCTGCAAAGCACCAGGCAAATCACGGGGCACGGATCTGCCACTGTCATGGTGAGGATGATGATGGTAGTAAAGAGTTCAGAGGCTCTTCCTGGCTTCTCAGACAGCGCTGGTGACGGGGTGAGTTTAGTGAATAAAGCTCTAAATGCATCCTCGCAAAAGCCAGTGGCTCCCAAAATTCTTTCCTCAGTGGTACACTGAGGAAAAAACTACCCACATGCAAAGAAAAGCGACAAGGTCTCAAGGTTCTCCTGTTTTCCTGTAACTGAACCAAAATTTGAGTCTTTGCAGAGAAGAAAGGTGAGAACATCAATTTTCCTTTCCATCCCGAAGCGGAATTCCTCGGAGGCCTGGGGCTATAAATGTAAGTGTATAATTATTCTTTCTCTAACCTTCCTGTAAAATGACAATAATACTGATCGGTTTAAATTAAAAATAAACTGGTAGTGGAGATTCTAGGCTTGAAGCGAGGGAAAACATACGGGCTTAGGAGTTCTGATCTAGGTTTGAGTTCAGAGCCCCCACTCGCTCCCCACACAGTCTGGGACAAGTCTGTACCTCAGTTTCTTGGCCTGGAAAATGGGGATAATACCTACTTTTTGGGGAACATGTTGAGGCTGAGATAATGCATGCAAAATGCCTATTGTGGTGTCTGGCACATAGTAGGTATGCCAACATGGTGTAAATCGAGGAGACCAGGGACTCCAGCTCCATTTTGCTGTCCTGAGGAAGAACTGGGGAGGAGGTGCTGGGCTCCTCTGTGTGGACCAGGTGACTGAGCCATAAAGCTAGGGGTGTCTGCTGCAGGCTCGTCTGAGAGGAAGATTGGCCAGGTCACAGGGAGACTCAAAGATGAGACCAGAGTGAGCTGTGAGGACCTCCCTGGCGGGGTGTGGGGCGTGGCGCTTCCAGACCAGCTGCATGAGATTCATTCTCCTCTTTATCTGGGTGACTCAGGCCGGGTCTTGGACAGAGTCCCTCTGACGGAGGAGAAGCCCAGGGTGGTCTTCTCTATGCGGGTTTCCTCTCTGCAGGCTGACCATCCACCAGAAGCAGAGCATTCTCTGGACTTAAAAGCCCACTTGCTCGCACCTATCCCACTGCACACTGGGTGGCGAAAGCCCTCTCAGACAATGACGCTGCTCAAATGGAAGCCATTTATTTAAAACCTTTATTGATGCTTGAAGAAAAATAATGCAATGTGTCAACGTACAGGTCCTGTTGCCTAAATCCATAACAGAAACAGATACTATGACTTAGCAAGCTCACGCGGTGCCAACTCTGAGATCAGACGGGGCTGTTGTTCTTCCTTAGGAAGTGGCCACTGGAAGCATTGTTTTTCCATGTTGTTTTGGCAAAGGCTTTTACTTGGTTTGAGTTTGAATCTCTCTCTTTGTGTGTGTGTGTGTCTCAAAGTATGACTGCAGTTCTGGGCTGGTATTTTCTATTTATTTAATTTTGGTGTCAGCATTTTACTATACTTGGCCTCTGATTTCAGAATAACAGGGCTATTTACTGATACAAAGGAGAGGTGTTCAGATCATCTTGTTAAGATGCAAAGCTCAAAATAAACATCGTATCTTTATTTGGAGATCTACATCCTTCCTCAAAGGAAGGCTTGTGAGTAAATCTGTATGAAGTATGAAACCCAAGCAAAGGGTCTATTTTTAATGATGACTTTGCTTACATTTTAGAGTGTGCAAATGCCTCAAATCATTGCTACTAGGAATTTGGACTTTCCTTGGTTTTGAGCAGAACCTAAGCAATAAATACTTTTGTATGCTTCCAGTAACATTAGGAACCAGAATGAAATGATATCTACCTGACTTCTGAGAAAAAAACAAACCAGTGGCATGAAAAATACACAACAGAGATCAGTCAATGGGTTCAAATGAACATAGTAAGCAATTTTATGCCTTAGGGGAAAAACACAGAGATAATAAATACAGATGACAAATATTTACAATAGAAGCAACAAATGGGACATCAGTAGGCGAACACATAAAACATTTACACTGAGGAAAATATAAAAGTGATGCCTTTCACACATCCAGCGCAGGAGCTGGAGAACAAATGAACTGCTGACTCAGCAGCGAGGAGACTGTTATTGCTTTAGCTTTTGAGTGATGTGAGTAAAACAGTCCATGCGCTGCAGTGGCCGCGGCAGGAGACAGCCTGGTTCCCATGGCAGAGCCTGACATGCAGGTCCTCCTCCCCCTGAGGCAGAGCTGGATTAAGTGCACCAGCTCCTCTGCCTGCTGCAGCCCCAGCTCTTGCTGGGTGCGTCTCCTGGCATGTTCCCTCCCCCCCAGATGATTTTTTTCCAACACGGACCATGAACGATTGGGGTTGGATTTGGGGCATATAAATCCTAGCTGAGCTTTGGGTAAAGCTATTCCCTAGAACAAGTCCTTTTAGAACAGATACATTTAACTTCTTGCCTCTGGCCTGTTAAATAAAATCTTGCTGGAGCAGAGCCAAGTCCTTTCGTTTATGTGTTGTCTATGGCTGCTTTTGTGCTACGATGGCAGAGTTGAGTAGTTTCGACAGAGACCTCATGGTCTGCCAAACTGAAAAGCACAGCGTTTACTGTCTGGTCCTTTACAGAAAAAGTGTGCGACCCCTGCTCCAGAAGGGCTGGCTAAGAACGTCCCCCTGCTCCTTACAATACGGCTCCTATTTGAGTACTGGCTTCGAGAAAGGACAAACTTTAATTTGATAGCCCATTAGGAAAAAAAAAAGGGCCTATCTATGAGATGTTTTACGTAACCACAAGAAATCCACTGCGGACATTTTCCACGATAATCCTCTCCCTCCTTTCCTTGTATTTTAAGCTCTGTCTCTTCTCTCTGCCTTTCTTTTGTCCACTTTGACTCCTCGTTGCTAAATTTCCAATTAGGATCTGGAAAATCCTGTCCCTTAGAGATTTGCAGCAGTCTCCTCCATTTATGCAAAAGGTCGGCATTTCCTAATGGGAATTGCAAAGTAGTCTTCATTCTCTTCTCCCCTTTCCCAGGCTCTAGCATGGACAAGTCGGACAAGTCGGGTTTCCAACTGGGCCTCACAGGATCCCCAGAAAGGTGCCTTATCGATCTTGGCTGGGGGTCCAGATGAGGTGACAGAGCTCTAAGGGAAATCTTCCTGTGCGCCTTTTCCCCGGGGTGGAAGGTGTGCCCCAGGTGGGTACGGGCCCATGCCAGGAGGTCAGAGGGACAGCCACATCGCTGTTTGATTCCTTTTTAAATAGGACTTAACACAAAACAAACAAAACAAAAAAACCAAAATCAGCCCCAAAGGATGGGCTGGGGTTTTTTTTCCCCCTCTTTTGAGCTGGTTTTAATGACCCAGTTGCTTTGTTTGAAAGCCATTTATTTAGACGACAGATATGTAGATATAACTGGATAAATAAAATAGTGAAATTGAGATTTGAAGCAGTGGTTAAAATATAAACTTATAGGGGCCACTTCCTTGGACAGTGTCCCCCAGACAGAACAATGGCTCAGAAGTTACACATAGAAATTACACTCTTCCCCCCGCCCGCCGAGCAGCTCTGAACTGCAAGGTCCCATGCAAGAAACCGAATTTCGGTTTGGCACCAAGCACCCCTCGGCCCCTGCCTCCTCTCCAGCCTGCTCCTGAGTTCCCAGCAATAGTTTCACATTCACTGCTGCCCTGACCTCCACGGAGACAGCACCAGGAGCTGCTGCACCAGAAGCTCCGGGTGGGGCCCGGCACCAACTGTGTGGTCCAGCCCAGGTGGGCCTGCCCCACCCTGCCCGCTCCCTCCTCTCCTCCCGCACAGCAGAGCGGCTGACACCCACTGGCTCCGTGGATGGAAAGAAGACAAGTGGCGAGGAGGACGTGGGGTGCGCTCCCGCGAGCGCGTGGAAGGGCAGAATCCGCCAGGCACCACCGAGACCTCGCTGCCCCAGAGTCTCCACCTCACCTGTTCGTTCCGCTAACGTACACCTTCATGAAGTCCACAAGCCCCACAAAATCCTGCGTGTGACATCCCCCCTCTTTAATGGTAAATGTTTTGGAATGTCCATAGATAAGAAAATGGACAGCGTGGAGGAAAGATTTCGTGGCCAGGCCTTTCATTTCACCTCCGGATATCAGAATACTCGGACGGTTCATCCTCCCACTCGCTGCTTCCAGAAGGTCCCTGGGCACCCAGACCCCCGGCTCTGTCCCGAGCATGGGCGTTTGGGTGGCTCTTGCTACCTCCTTCGCCCTTGGCGCCTTGGCCGGCCTCCCTGCTGCTGGGCTCCGGGAGGCGATAGCCCACTTCCCCGTGGTGGGCCCTGGGGAGCCTGGCTCTGTCCACCTGGAGCTGGCGCTCGGGCGGCACCGTGGGGGGCCTCTGCAGGGCCGAGGTGCAGAAGCTCAGGATGGAGCACAGGCTTCCCCAGTTCTGCTCACACTGAGCCTGAACGCTGTGGGTGATGGCCTCCTTCACCTCCTCCCCACAGGTCAGCAGCAAGTTCACGAGGTCCACGTAGGGTCTAGAGAGTGAAAGCAAAGACACAGATGCCGAGAATGGAACGAGTCCCGGATGGGCCTCAGAGGCCCGGGACAATGACAGGAAAGAGAGGTACGGCTAGTGCTTGGTTTGGTTTTGGTTTGGTGAAAGATCTTTCTGGAATTACTTCAAGCCTTTATTCTGTATTCTATGGAGTACTGGACCCAACCAACATTTACTGGGCGGTCACTGTGTACCAAGATCCACGCCAGGCACTGGGGAAGTCAGACGCATGGGAAGGCTCCCGCTCTCGCGGTAGTGGTAGAGAGAGAGCCCGCCACAGGAAAAAGTGCCAGTGACAAGTCACGGGTGCACAGGATGAGAGTCTAGGGCCGGGACACCAACAGGAAGAACCTCTGGGGAAGGGAAGAACCTCTGGGGAAGGCAAGAACCCCAGGTACGGCATCTGTGTGATCAATGCAAGGAGGGCAAGAGAGCTCTGGGCATGTTCAGGCTGATCCAGCCAGGTGAGACGGGTCTTGGGGCCAGTGGGATGAATGAGACTTAGGCAAATGGTGCGGGGCCTTAAATCCCAGACTGAGGAGTCTTTTTGGTAGGGAGGGAGACGCCATGGACGTTTAAGGTCTGGAGAAAGGCTCCTGAGCGGCCTGGGTGAGCCCCACATCATCCTGTCACACCACGGGCCATTCTTCCAGCGCCTTCTCTAAGTGAGGCGCCCAAGAGGCCATTTTCCTCATGTCTGTGTTAGCCCCGGTTCAAGCTCATGATGAAGAAGGGTTTTTACAAGTTACTGGATATACTTCCCTCTGTGTCTGGAAGAGTGTGGACTAGGTGAGGAGGGGTAGGAGGAAGACCCCCTCCCTGGGACGTCATTTCCCATGGGGCGTTTCTCTGTCTTGGCAGTAGAGGCTGGGGGGTGGGAGTGGTCATCTAAGCACCTTTTTGTTTCAGTCTGGGCTTCCCCAGAACTGGGGGTGAAGGCTGGCAGTCAGGGGCCACGTGTTTGGATTGAGAGCCAGCTCTCTGGGAAATAAACAGGCTCAGTTCTGGAAGGCAGAGAGCCCTTCCGGCTGCCTTGGGTTGTTCTTTAGGAAAACTGCTGGAGGAGTTTACCCCAGGGCGCGGACAGGGTGCGCAGACAACAGAGCAGCTGCGCCTGCTTTTTATATTTATGGGCCCATCTGGTAAGGGGTACCCCCAGCAGGGGGCTCTCATGGCCCTCTCCTGGAGGCTTTTAGCCTTTTAAAATCCCCAAGGGGGCATGGAATGTTTCCTGTGGCTAACCAGCATTCCTAGGCAGTCCTCGAGGGCAAAGTTTCTGGATGTATCTGACCATGAGCATTGGGGCTCTGTGCCGTCACCTCGAGCAGGGAAATCACTCTGGAATGTGAGATCCTTTATAACAAGGAGCAAACCCATTTTTCCTCTGTAAGTCTGGGCCACCGGGGAGGCTCTGTTGCAGCCTGTGCAGTCTTTTCCTTGCACGTTGGCAGTTGTTGCTATGCAGAAAGAGCGGATTGTGTTTAAGACCTGTGAAGTAGTTTACTACCATTTTTATTAATTAGTCCTCCAGTTGTAACTGAGTGAACTGTCCTCACTTTGCGGATGTAAAAACTGAAAAGAGAGAGGAGAAGGTGGCTTTTGGAGGCTTCCGGGCTAGGAAGGTTTCAGGGCTGGGCTGAGAGCAGGGAGGAAGAATGTTCTGGCTGATAGAGATCTAGCTGCTTTTTAGGGCCTACTCCATGCCTTTGGAGTCAGAGAGTCTGTGCACGCAGCGGGGCAAAGTGCTTAAGCCCTCCAAGGCAGGCCCCTGACGGCCGATAACACTGTCGCCTTGGGCTACCCTGAGGCGGTCATGCCCATGGCAACACAAGAGAAGTGCTCGGTGCATGTTTGTTTCCTTCCATCTTTTGAAAACTAGAAAGTGCCTCAGGGAGCTCAAGTTCACTGAGTGTATCTGCTAAAGCAACAGCAGGATTTTAGCGCTGGACTGTACCTGCCGCCCCTCTGGGGCTAGATGAGCACATTTTGGAGCTGTCTTTTTAAGATACTAAACGGATGATCTTGTTCAAGCTTCTTTCCCTAGAGTAAGGGGAGGGCTCTCGGGAATATACAGACCGCCTCTCCTGCGCCTCCTTCGCCAGGGCCTTCCGTCTGCCATACGCGCTCTCAGAACCCCAAGGTCCGAGAAGGCTGGATGAGCCCACACTCTCCTCTGCCCGTGGCCCTCTCTCCCGAGGAGGAAGCTGTGAACCGCAGGGAGGGGTGTGTGTGCCGAACCAAGTTAATCTAAGCCGTGTTCTGAGCTGGCAAGGTGCCTTCTCAGGCTGCAAGCTCAGCCCGTGTCTAATGACAAAGCCCAGCTCGCTCAACTGGGTGTCAGCAAGGCTAAAGGATTTGAAAAAATACTTGGAGGGGGATGTGCTTGGAGGCTGCCAGCGCCCAGTGACAGGGTATTCGGAGGCCAAGGCAGGCTGGCCGCAGCTAGGGGGAGGCAGGCAGTATGGAGAGAGGGGGCAGACAGCAAGAGGTGAGGGGAGCAGAAGGGACAGAACAGAGATCCTGAAAAAGCTGCTTTCACGGGGCCTGAGTGTTCAGGGTTGGATGGGGATTGGGCTGAAGAACAGGGGTGCTGTAGATCGTGGTGGGGGGACTGTGATTTCCTTTTCTCTAAAGTGAAAAGCAAATTTGGGTCTCATTTTCTTGTTTGAGACCAATGCCACACATTCTGAAATGGACCTCTTGGTATTTGCGGCTGATATTTACGGATAAGATCCTTTCATCAGTTAATATGGTTTAAAAAATAAAAAACCAAAAAACTCAGGCAATTCAGCTTGAAGTACAAGTTGATGCATTGCATAGTTGTGGCTTCAGAAGGGAAGGTGATGGGGGTTTTCAGGGGGCTGGAGTTAGGGGACACCCACTGCCTGGAGGTACTGGCTGGCAGGAAGCAGGAGGACCTGCCTGTGACCACAGTGAGTGTCCTTAACAGAGGCCCAGGATTCTCGGCGGGGTGGGCCACCTGCACTTCCAAAGCAGGCTGGGACGGGAGCCACATGCTCATTCTAATGGTGTGAGGAGCCCTTTGGAAGTACGGGTCCCTGGGCTCCAAGGGCCATGTCCCCAAGAAGGAGACACTAGAAAGCTACTATCTACTTTATCTTAAAGTCAAGGTGGAGGAGGAAGAAACCTTTAAAACCTTCAGGTTTCCCAAAGAAAATTTTTCTCCAAAAAGACAATCATCTAGTGCTCCAGGCAGGTATTATGGACTTATACACTAGCACCCCATCACCCATTCTTGAGGCCAACAAGCTATCTCTAATGGGTGACAGTGGATGAGACACATGAACGTCACAAGGTCTCAGCCACAGGGCATTTGCCTCTTCCAGGGGTACTTGAAGGAAGAGGATTTCACAGAACTCTCCTTGTGTGACGGGATATATTTGAGAAAAGGATAAAAATCCTGCCACATTTGGTGACCAGTGAGCCCTTTGCAGGTCTAGTGGGGACAGGAAAGGCCAGGAGCAGGGAGGTTTCAAGTCTACGGCTGGTTTCAGGCATCTATATCAGCAATTCCAGAGCTGAAAGTAGGAACCAAACCTGAGTGCAAGTTCTTTAACCTCTTAGCTTCGCTTTCCTCCTCTGTTGAAAGGAGATAGTAATTTCTATCTGGTAGCATCTTTACAAAAGATAAATGAGATAATCCCTGTAAAGCCCTGGCAGAGGGGGTGTAACATTAAAAAAGATAAAAATTATTGCTAGTGTTGTTGTTACTGTTTTTTTACAGGTATTTGGAAGAATAAAAAATATTTTATGAGGCATTAGCATAACTCAAGGAAAATGCAATGTTATCTTGCTTTTTGCAAGAGCTGCCTGCAGAGTTTTACCATGAATCATATAATCCTAACACTGTCCCAGAGGTGTTGCAAGATACCTAGAACCTTATAACCACCTGGAAAGTGACAGGAGCTGGTTGTTGTCCTTCATGATCTAAGTGGTGTTGGGAGTGGTGGGGGTAGCCTGTTTAGTGACATAGCTGGAAGAAGGTTGTGGCACAAGCTAAGAAGCAAGAGTTCATAAAACTGTGGTTTGGCCCAGTGAGTCCCTGTGGAAAGACCAAGGGTGCCATCAAGCTGGCAGTGACTTGCACTGGACTGTTTAGCTGGTGGCTTTCTTTCTGCCCTGCCCTCGTAATCTCCAGGGACTACTGACCATACCTCAGGTTAGAAGAAATTATGTACCAACGTGGTTTACTGTGCTGCAAAACTGAGGATCCTATAGCTGGGATACGTTTTAAGGAATGAAGTTATCCTGGGTTTATCACCGAATTTCAAGCCTTTGAGTAAGTTAGTTCACGTCTCCTTTGGCATAAAAGTATTTAGCTGATTAAAGTTTTTGACATTTGTTTTGCATTTTTTCTGGGAGGGCATTAATATATTAGAGCAAGTAAACTGGACCTTCTAAGGGAAAGGAAAGCTTATGGAGGCAGGAAAAACATCGAATGCTCTCAGTTTTTGGCATTTAAGAGTGTAGGTTCTGGAGCCAGACTGCTTGGGTCCCAAGCCTGGCTTTGCCTGTCGCTAGCTGTGTGCCCCTCGCCTCGGCGAGTCTCGGCCTTCCGGTCTGTGGAATGGAGAGGACTAGGCTCGCAGGCTGTTGTGAGGATTAAGTGAAAAGCTCACAGGAAGCATTTAGCCCCGGGACTGGCACTTAGTAAATGTTCAACAAATGTTCTCAGCTACTGCTGTCTATAAGGACACCTCCACCCCTACTCGGAATATTCAGAGAACTCTTGGGTTCCTCGCCAAGGAAAAGATGAAAGTCTTTCTGAATCTACACACTTCACGCTTAGTAAAAAAAAATTCCCATTTCTATTGCTTGTGATTTTGAAACTGATGATGGAAATCTTTTCCTTTTCCTGAAAGCCAGCAGGAAAGGGGCCTCGTTGGGGAGTCAATGTAGTTTTCTGAGGTAAACCGCAACCTTCTGGCTTTGACAGGAGTTCAGCCTCCCGAAGTGCACGCAGTCTGCTCCCCCCTCCACTGCCCTCGGGGGGCGGCCCCTCCCCGCCAGGCCCCGCGGGGCGGTACTCACTCGTGCAGCAGCAAGTCCTTGAAATGTATCATCTCCACTATCACCCGCGTGTTCTCCTGGGCAGCCGCGCACAGGTCGTGCTTGAGGTAGCATTCCCGCTGCAACTGGAACACCATCTCCTTGATGGCCGGGCACTTCCGGCTTATGCAGCCGAACCTGTGCCGCAGAGCGTGGGCCTTACACCTCAAGGCGTCTTTGATGAATGACTTGCCCTGAGAACAGAGAGGACGGAGGAGACAGGAGCAGAAAACAGGAGCCCTTGTTACTCGCTCAGGCATTTACCATTCCTGGGCTTACCTAGGATTTTTCCGGCGACCGAGTGCTGAGACCCCTCCCTCAAACAGATGTCCTCCCCGGTGATGGGCGCTGCTGCATCAGGAGGCATGTCCAGAGTGACACGACACCTCCCACACTTGGTCACGTGAGATGTTCAGTCCATAGACTCACACATCTCCCTCCTTCCTCCCCAGCTACTCATTTAGTTTTCCCTCCAATTGCGGCTTCCACGGCTGTCTGTCCTCAGGGTGGCTCAGTGTTGGCTGTTGGGTAGCAACTTTTCTGGAACACAAGGGGAATTTGGCCAGACACAAGTCCATAACTCCTTTGTGGTTCTCAGCAAGCATTCTTCCCAAGTGGAAGATGCCCGTTTGTCCAAATCTCACACTTTCCCTTTTTCCTTCCATTCCAGGAGCGGCATCAAGATCAGTTGCTAATCGTGCGTCCCCTTTCTGCCTCAGTATCTCCCACCGCCCCAAATTCAAACCCTTGTCTCCTCCTATGTTTCAAGGAGGAGCATTCTTTTCCTTTTTGAAAACGATTCTACTCCTTTAAACTGTGAGGATTACTGCCTCTAAAAGGCCCGCCTGGCACACTGCCTGGCAGCATCTGGAGTCTGAACTGCCCAACGGACGGCCCCTCCCCCACGCTCCCTGCGTCTCAGTGGCTCAGGCAGCCAGGCATACATCTGGCCTGCAGCTCTCTTTCCTGGCAACCCCATTGGACTGCGCTTATCCTAGAAAGGAGACAGCTGTTGGGGGTGTGGAGGCGAGCTGGGTGTTAGCTCCCTTATCAACCTCCCGTGGCCGAGAGGCACTGTGGGATGCCTACCCAGGGCTCCCGGCTCCCTCCATTACTATAGAAACGAGCTGTCGTCGAGAGGTCACCCCTCTGTTTTTAGACAGGCCCGGAAGTCACTGAGTTGAGAAAGTAAATGGGTTTAGGTTGGAAGCAGAAAGCCAGCCGGCACATTTATTTTGGTTCTCTCTTCAGAAGCAAGTGAAATGTCCACAGATCGTGTCTGATCTCTGAAAAGCCATGTGGGCCAACCACCGTCCCTGTGGCCCCCTCTCCGTTGACTTTTCAGCGAGAGCCAAACGGAGTGGAGGGCAGGCTGTGCCAGTTTATTAAGTAGTTCTGTGCTGAGAATCGACTTGAGAGGGATGCCTCTAACTTGAGAACATATTCTTGTTGGTTGAGGAAAAAAGGAAGATGAATTTATGCGAGGGCTGCAGCAATCTGTTCTTGGTATTCTTCCCTGACATCCTGTGGGATTGCCCTTAAATACACATCTTTCCTCCGGATTTCCTATTACGTTTCCTAATTCCAGTTAATCCAGAAGTGATGCTTTATAAGGGAGCCTTGAGGAGTTCAAAGTTCTACTTCTTTCCTTCCCTGGTTTCTGTTTCCCCTCCTGCCACCTCACATCCTCTGCAGTCTAGGCTGCCGGCCGTTGCGTCCCCTTCTGGTTCCCAGGCGTTGCTTTGTCAGGCTCACTACAGGATGTCAGAGGATGGTGGCGGGTGATCTTCATAATTACACCTACACTGTTGGCGTCCTCCAAATGTTGTCATTGCTCTCCAATGAAATGGGAGAGGAAGTTCATGAGATACAACAACAGGATGTTTCAGCAGGGTATATAGGGGCCGGGGAGAAAATGCAGAAGGTGAGCCTAATGCCACATGCCACCTAAAAATGTATCTAGGTTGTCAGTACTGGAGCCATAAGGTTGCTTGTTGTGTTCTTGCCCTGCCCTGAGCAGCAACTTGGTGTTGCCCGTGGGACCCTGGCACCACTGAAGTGGGTCAGGCCCTGACTATATTTATTATATAGAGCAAAAGAAAAGTGTGGAATTGCGGGACTCATTCAGGGTTTTGACTTTTCAGCTTGGGAGAGAAGGGTCTGCTACATAGGAGGAATAAAAATCTGCTCTCTGGGAGGCCCTGCATTATTCAGGTTGCCTGTACACACACACACACGATTATTAATTACTACAAATTTTGTGTCTCATTTGGTCGTCTCTATTAGGTGAAAATAGCTTTTGCAATATATAACAGGGGCCCCTGTTCTGCCCTCCATTGTTCCTAATGCAATGGGCTTTGAGGACTGGGTTCTGGGTGCCAGATGGGGTGTATCTCCTTACCAGGTGTTTATCATTTATTATGACATTGGTCTCCAGTCCACTCTGCCTGTGTAGACACAGCTTAAGAGTGTAGAAGGATTTAGCCTACATGACAGCTCCAGTGCTCTCTGAACATGAGTGCAGTGGGGAGATACCGGCGTCTCACTGTACACCTAGCATGTCTCTTGCAAGCACTAAAACATCACAACACAAAGAACAGCTCAGGCGATCTGTTAACAAGGCTTTCCAGTGATTGAATATTTTCATCATGCTATGCTCACCCAAAACATTCTTCATGCTCTATCTAGATGGTTTTTACCTGGGCATCAAATTTTCCAGCGTTGTGCAGAAAAGTCATGCAAATCCCATGTAAGCCCCGAATCTCACAAGAGTTGTTCTCGAAACATTCAAACACGCCACACCCCACATCGCCAGCGTTGACCAAACAGTGCTGGATCTCCGCTAAAAGGAAAATTACATACAAATATATACTAAACTCTAACCCATGCCAAAGAATGCACAGAGGTCATTTGAAGCGAAAGTTAGTAACGACTAAAAGAAAATTTAAAAAAAAGTTAGTAATGACTATTTCAGGACCTAAAAAAGCGTGGGAAACAAAATTACATCATTTAATCTACCCATGAAAAATATCTATATTTGTAAAAATTAGCCAAAAAATTTACAAAAATCAAAACCAGCCATTAGATCAGAGCAGTCCTTCTTTTCATCCTTTCCATATTATTGCTGTATTTGTGGCAATACTTAGTTTGAGAGCAGAAAATATTTCAGCTTTCTGAACCCACAGACAAAAATAAGACTTTAAGATGAAGACTATATTTCATCAATGAAATACCCTCTCTACTTGGATCTGTAGAAGCGGCTGCTATTAAATCACAGCCATTTCCTTCCTGACCCCCAAATGACAGCGTCCAAAAAGCAGTTTCAATTCAGCTTTATGATTCAACACCTAAAAATCAAAACAAAATTCCTATTAAGGCAGCGCCTCCAAACCATTCGCATTAAAATACCAGGGTAGGGGAGCTGCAGTTTGCGAGCAGGCTTGCAAGCAGGCTCCGGAGTCGAGTCGGAAGGGGGCTCGCCTTCAGAACCGTGACCATCCGCAGTTAGAGGCTCCTTTTAATTAGGGATCCAGTGTGAGATGTCACTTAATCCCCTAGAATTCCCGCGGCCCGGGAGCTTGCTGCCCTTCGTCGCAGAATGTGGCCCTAATTCGTCTCTCTGAAAGGACAGACTGAGGGAGTTAACTGTCAGGCTGCCGCGTGCAAAGCCTCTCTTTCCCCCCTCCTCCTCCCCAAGTCTCTGATTTAAACCAACCACAAAATTACATCAGAAAAGTATATTTTGGAAGAAGGGCGGGGTCGGAGCAGATAATCTGCATTCAGATCAAATCTAGCGAGAGAATGAGGGGCGTGCACTGTTGAGGGTCACCAACTATCGAGAATCACGTTCAGTTCTCAAAGAAAGCGCCAGAGAGGGGGAAGGGTGGGCGAGGGTCCTAGGGTGTGGGGGACGCCGGCCCGGGGTGCTGGCCCGGGTGTGTGGAGGTGAGAGGCTCCAGATGACCCCACGCGCGGCACGGGCGCGCCGTGAGGACCGCGACTCACTCACTCGGGGCGTCCTAATGGGCACTCGTGCATTCCTGCTCGTGCGGTGAGCGCACGCACGCCGCCGCCGCAGCATTTGCTCGGCCCCCAAAATACTGGGGGGTGGGGCGCGGAGCGGAGGAGCTGTAGGCAGATTTTCTTTCTCTCCCCCAAAGCTGGGAAAAGGGCCAACCCCGTGCCCTGCACGCCTGGCTCTGCTCTGCAGCTTGTCCGTGAGCCAAGAGCCGGTCGAGCAGAGGCGGCGCACGGTTCGGGTCGTGCCACCATTTCTTCGCTTGCCGACCTGGCCAGGAGCAGGGGATGGCGGCAGCACCGCGGAGGTACGCTTTGCGCCGCCCCCACCCTCCCTTCCGAAAGCAGTGCCCCCGGGGAAAGTTCGCCATGCAATTTCCCGTAAAGTTCTGGGATGTTGGGCATCTTTTGAGGAGGGGGAGAAGCAGTCCTGCCGAGGCCGGCCGGCTGGGAAGTTCTCCGGGTGCAGGGCGCAGCCCAGCTTCGGGGACCCTTAGTGCCTCCCGCGGGCCGCCGGGGATGAAGTGCGCTTTGCACCGGACCCGGGACTCGTGGGCGGGGGTTGGCGCTGGCAGCGTCAGGCGCTGCCTCATTTCCCCTCGACCCTGGGGAGGGCAGCAACAAGTCCTGCCACAGCCATTTCATCACCCTGCTAGCACGTGCAGATTCCGGGCGCTCGGAGCCCGGCGCGGACCTCGCTTAGCCTCGCGCTTCCCTTTGCACGTCCCGCGCCACACCAAGAGTTTGCGTGGCCCAGAGTGGGCGTCCGGCTCTGGGCGAAATGCCCGGGGTGCGCTGCGTGGGTGCACGGTATCCTCTCCCAGCAGCTCCCGGCCACGGGGGCGCACGCACTTACCTGTGTTCTGCAGGGATAGGCGACCTTTCTGCTGGGAGCCCCTGTCTTGGGGACCCTCGGGAGGGTTGGTGGCGTCGGTCCCTCGCGCCGGGTCGAAGGTGGCCAACACCAAAGCCAGGGTCACGAACTGGCCCAGCCTCTCGGCACACATGGTTCTTGGTATAAACCTCTCGCCGGGAGACCTGGATTCTTTGTGCTCGCTTCCTCCTACTCCTCCTCCTCTTCCTCCTCCGCCGCTTCCCTTCCTCCTCCCACTCTTCCTCCTAGCTTGCCTTTTCCCTCTTCCTCGCGGCCGCGGCTCCGATAGAGGTTACCCAGCGCCCTCCCGTAGCTCTCCAGAGAGCATGTGACCAGGCCGTTAGCAGCGCCGCGAATGCCCGGCAATGGCAGGGATGGTGCCTCAAATATCCCTGGAAGCTCTGGTGTCACTTGAATGAAGGAGTCGAGCAGGTGTTGTCCCGGCGGCTGGACCAATCCGAGACCCCGGCCCGTTTGACAACACGGCCGGGAGGCGGGGCCTGCGCCCAACTACTACGAGAGGAAGCCGAGCGCCGCTGGGAGCGCCCGACAAAGTTGCCGACCTGGCGGCCGCCGGGCGTTCGCGTGCGTGTGAGTGCGAGCGCGGCCGGAGATAAGCGCGCGTGTGCGGGGGCTCCCGGGCAATGGCCGCACCGACTTCAGCACATTATTATAGAAGCGAATCCCGGCGCTAGTTACAGCTAAAGAAGGGCAAGAGGGTCGGACTGCTCTGGGACAGCGTCCTCCGGATCCCTGGCTCGCATCACACTGCATCGGGCTGGAAAAGTTTCTTTCCACCATTTGGAATTTAGTGAGATTCCCAGCTCCGAGGCCTTGATTGGAGCAGTTTCCTGGGCACAGAGATGCTCTGGGCCAACTGAGCACGTATGGGAACTCCTAGCGTTGTGACGCTTTGCATTAAAAAAATAAAGCACTATTGAAGATAGAAACAGAAGCACTAGGTACAGTACTTGGCCTGAGCAACGGCCCCTTCTGCTTTGGTGGGCCGTGCAACACCTGGGGTGTCGTTTCTCATCCCTCTCCCAACCCAGACGGATTCCGGGCTGGGCTGCAGGGATCCAGGTGACAGTCAGACTTGCATCATTTCCAGGAGGGTGGCAGGGAGGCCCAAGCAGCCCTGAGTCAGCCCGCCGCGGAGCATCGCGTGCCCCGGAGGCCAGAGCTTGAAAGGCAACTTCGCGTCTCCAAACACACTCTTGCATTTTCCCAAAGCGCTACTTGCCGCCCCGCTCCAGGTTCCCTTTACTCTACAGTCATCGGTTGGAAGTGGTGCAAACAAAAACAAAAAAGAAAAAAAAAAGAGGGGAAATTCTCTCCGTCTTTTTTCCCTTCTTGTTCGACCCCCTCCCCAAGCACGGCCAAGATTGGACTGCCCCCAGCTGCTTTCTCCCCCGGCCTGCAGAAGCAAGGAGAAAGTTGGGCGCTGCTTGGAGCGCCTCTCCCCCTGCTGTGTGTGTACGTGTGCACGCTCACGTCTCCCCCGCGCCGGGCCGGGGACAGGAACTGCTCCCGGCCTTGTCAACCCGACGGCGCAGCTTGGTGGTCTCGGAGGGCTGGGGGAGGGCGGGGACTCGAGCGCTGCCACCAGTGCCCCGGGCATGGAGCCGGTGTTGGCTCGCCCTCGCCCCTCCCCCAAGTCCCCACCCTCCTCCTGGAGAACAGGTGAGCCCGGGTACCAGCTCTCAACCCCCTGCCCCCGCCCCGCTCCCGCCCGCGCCCTCTGCGGTAATGCGCCTGGGAAGTTTCATCACCCACTGCCCGCGGCAACGCGGCCCCGGGTCTCCGCAGCGGGGCGCACTGCTCGCCTGGTTGGGGCCGCCATGTGACACGGCTGGGGGAGGGGGTGCGGAGACACGCGGCAGGTCTTCCTTTGGCCGCTGCTCAGCTCCTACAGCTTCCCTGCCTCGGGTCCCGGGCGGCACTCGGGTGTGGGGAAGGCGGAGGCGGGGGACCAGGGTGACCGCCGCTGGCCGCAGCTGTCCGGCTTGTCGAGCTGTCCTGAGTCGGGAGGAAGAAGAGGAGGGCTTGGGGAGCGCGCCTTGGGAGTCGGCTTTCCCTGCTCTGGAGCGCCAGGGAGGTGCCCCACCATCCCTGCCCGACTTTCAGAACCCCTATAAATGGTCACTTAGAAAGTCTGAGTCTGCAGCTGCAGCGAGAAACTGACGGCTCACGCCCTGATTCCAGTAGCTATTCCTCCCCGCAGCTTCAGGTCTTTGGTGGAGGGAGTTGGGGGTGCAAGTACATTAACATGGAAGGTTCACGTTGCCCACCCAGCTTTTGTTTGCATAGTTAACTGAGCTTCCTTTATTAGTTTATGAAAATCCACCTCCTGTAGATCCTTAAAAACAAAACAAAACAAAACAAACAACACAGCATCTTTCTGGGCTCTCCTAACTAATTCCTTAAGGCCCTTGAGTTTTCTGGAGCTCAGTGGCTATTTGGCCCCAGTATTGCTTGTAGGTATAGCTGGGTAGACTTTCTTTCCTTCTTTGTGGAACGCGAGCAATATTGACATTAAAAAGGTACCTGGTCACCTGGGTTTTTCTTTTTTGTTGTTGTTTTTTTGAGAAACAAATAGGAGAGAGCTTCAGGGGGCGGGAACAAGCCCACCTTTGGTAGATGCAGACTTCGAGTGCATCTGGAACAGCAGCCAGGCAGGAAGGGGGGGTCTCCTGGTTCCTGCCTCCCCACTGCTTTTGGCTAGCACTGTCTTTTGCTACTGTGGGGCCTTCGGGCTGCCCTCCGAGGACCTACATGATTTAAAAGTTCGTCATGAGGCCATTTGCTCCAGCCTTACAAGAGATATTCCTAGTTCGCATCTGAGCCAACTGTCCCTTTAGAACTAAAAGAACATGCAGTAGCTAAAATTTGAGGTGTCGTAAGCAGAGGCACTAGTTCTTAAAGGTTTATATCTGGGCCACTTAGCCAAGGCTGCACATCCTGGTCAGTTTCCCCCAGGCTGTGAGGATTCTCCAGCAGTATCACCGGGCAGTTTGCTGGGACTACCAGTCTAGGCCACAGGCCTGGGGTAGAAGTGGGCATGGGGGCTCAGACTGGTGACTTTGTTGTGATCCTCCCTCCCTCCTGCTGATTCCCTTAGCTCTGTAACTTAGGCCTGGTTTGGCAGACTGTGGCTGGTGAGAGTGGGAGTGAAAGAACAGTAATAATAATTATGATTACTATTATAGAGCTAACACGAATTGAGAACAGAACCATGCCACACATCAAGCTCACAGCTCTGGTGTTCCCCTGGACCCGAGATGAGAATTGAGACTTAGGCGGTCTCTTGGAAAGATCAGCAGGTGCTGCCCTGAGGTTTAGCAGAGTCCCACTGCAGCTGTGGAGAGGCAGGCGTGGCCTGCCTTGTGGCATCCAGAGGCTTCCGTAGTTGATGCACGGGGCCCATGTTTTCCTCCCTAAATCCACGTCACCAGTTACATGTGGTCAACACTTAGTGGCAGGTTAGAATGCCCCCTTCCCCAAAGATGGGGGAGGATGCTGACAAGTACGAGCAAGGGAAAGAGAGGGAGCATGGCAGGTCACAGGACCAGCAGTGGTAGATGGGTGGCTGGATACGGTAGGGTTTGCATCAGGAGCAGGAGTGGCCCAGTTGGGTGTGAAAGTGGGAGAGATCGGCCAGGGCGTGTTGTCAAGGCTGGGCCATGGTGACAGATCCGTGCTCATTCATCCTGACAGTATTGAAGGATGAGACTGTAGGAGGCTCCTAGACTAGATTCTCTTTAGGAATTAGAAAGAGCTCGGGGGCTTGCCTGTGCTGCCATTGTGGAGATGGAGGAGAAGAGTGGGAAGGAATTGGCTGGTATCTTCAGTAAGCTGCAGTGCCCAGGAGGACAGAGGTGTTGTTGCTCAGGTGAGGACAGGTGTGGCCTTAGAGGATGGGCACAGTGCTTGGGTGCTGAGGCACTGAGGGAGTACGTTGACACATGCTGTCCAGTCCAGGCGTTCTGTGAGCCCCGGAGCCTGAGAGAACATGGCTTATACGTGGGGAGCTCCGCCCACTGCATGGCCGCCCCCTTGGAGCAGACTGTCTGGGCTCATGGCGCCACCTTATGGTTAGAGAGGGAACTGTCCGACCCTTTCCTTACCTTTACCTGCCTCAAGGGCCTGGGGCCCTACTAACATTGGGTCTCCTCCCTTCTCTCCGATTTCCTTACCTTTTACTTAGCAAATGCTTTAGTCCCCCCATCAAGGAAATCTCCAACTTTTTATTTTCTCTTCTCTCTTCCTCCCCGATCCTTTGCTGTCTTCCTTTGTGAGCCTCAAGTCTACCCTAATCACGGCTCCTGTGCCTCATGCCTCTATGAAGGAAAATGAAAAAAGGTATCAAGGTGAAACTGGACAGGCAGGATAACAAATTGCTGCTGTCGAGTCTCCCAAATTCTTGGAAGCAGAGGTCTCTCCCTAAAAAGTCTCCATCTTTCCTCTTCTTTCCTTCCATTAAACCAGTTGTTTCATTAAGTACAATTCAGGATAAAGGAGACTATGTCTTCAATATTTAAGTTTGTTTATTAGTGCTACAACCACATTGCTTTCTACTAACTTATATTGTAAAAGTTCAGTGTTTCAACAACATTATGAGTTAAGAGGGATTTTGTGGGGCTGACCTGGCAATCTCACTGTCATGTATAATATTGTTTATTGGAGGAAAATATATTCTGAGAAAATACATTGCCTACAGTGTTACGTCATCTCTCAAAGTACCAAAGTACCAACTCTCAAAGTGTTGGAACACAACATTTTTGTGAATTAGGCATTTCCTCTATGTCATAGATCAATAGTCAAATTGACTGGAAATATAAAAGATAAAAAAGAATTTTTAAAAACCGTAGAGAATAGGAACACTGTATCCTTCACAATAAATCCATTTACCGGAAAGAATATAAAGCAGTAAACATGGAGCACCTGATTGTGGTCTGAGTTTTATTAGTGCCTTGCTAGGAAGTCTGAGTAGTATCCCAGAAGCCCTCCCTGTTTTCCTTGGGTCATAATTTTTGCTTCCTCATTGTGTGCTGAGACAAACTCCAGGAGAGGATATCCCAGGCCAGGGGGTTCCTGGCTCCCATGGAGAGGGCAGGCATCATGGTATTGAAATACTATCAAGCTCTCCCTGGCTGAGTTTCAACGTTGGTCTGAGAACTGTTGGATTTCCAGTGGGTGAAGGAAGAGTCTTTTTATGGGGCAGTTTTCCAGTGAACCAGATTTTGAAAGTCTTCAGGAAATGAACAAATCTATTAATGTGATTTAACCTTCAGTCTGCCATATTTCCCATTGGACCTCATTTTAGATTTGGAGGGTTTTTTTTTCCCTAAGCAGTTCTAACTATTTGTAAGAATTGATATTTCATGACTTTTGTTTGTTTTTAGAAGACTTCCAAGGATCAAAGAGAACTTTTACTTTTTAATAAAAATAGAATGAAACTCATTCTGTCATGAAGTTATCAAATAAGATCATTGAAACCATTTATAAATCTACACTACATCATAGGATATTAAATAATATTAATTTTCTTATATTTTAAACATCTTCCATTTTATTATCCTATAAATTATTTCATTACTTGTCAATTATTGCCAATTATGGTAAAAAAAAAACCCACTAAAATAATAAGAAAATGGAAGAATGATGGAATCACCCAGAAGGATGATGCAACAGTGAAACAAATCATCATTCAGTTTTTTTTATTACATTGCCTGAAGTGTTACATCATCTCTGAAGAAAACATAAAGGAAGACAGAGGACACCATCTTTGTAGTCTTATTATTGCTTTCATTGAATACAGTTGTGAATACAGAACTTTTCATTTTTCTGCACAAAATGGTAAAAGAAGAAAATTAACAGAGGAAAACATTTACAATTATTGGACAAATCAGAAGATCAATGCAAACAGAGCAGCATCGTAGACTCCAATGGTAGTGGTAACACAGGTCGTACTGAATAAGCAAAGTCTTAGATGAGTTGTATATGACAATACTTTAGATGAACTTTCCCAAATTTAAGGATCTAAGAGTAAACTATATTTCTGAGGGAAAAAAGAAAATATTATATTCTCCTCCAGTTAATAATTCAACAGGAATTATTTCATCATGCAATATTTGCAACATGAACCTGGACCATCCTCTTTGCTGAAAGAATTGGGGCCAATGTTCTTTTACTTTTTATGATGTTTGCTTACCAAAATTTACTTGATACAGTTTGAAGGGGACCAATAATGAAGTCAGAACAAAGGTGATTACAAAGGTGATCAAAAAGAAATAGGTGATATACACACAAAAGAAAAATAATCATTGGATTAATCATTCTAATTGGTGTTTATAAGTTTAAAAATAAAAATTCTTTCCAATTTTGGAGAAAAGAAGGTGACCAACTTCTCCTGAACAAAACTATGACCTGTCAA